GTGCAGGTATACGTTAAATGTGTTTTTCTACCTGAGTTCTGGTGTTTTCCTCAGCAATCTCTTAACATGCTGCACTTGGTGTTCATTCAGGTCTTCAGGATCCTGGCAGCAGATTCAACAGCAACCATTTCAAATTCTACAATCGATAGTCAATCTAACATTTAAAATTTTAAGATCTTTCGTTAGGATAGTGGACAACCTCACATAATAACAGACAGACCTTAAAACAAGACAATGAAAAAAATAAATAAATAAAGCACCATAGATGATACACATTTCTCATTGTGTCGTGAAAGCGTATGCTCACAGAGGTTTTCCTACAGTCACTAACACAGAACAAGATCCATCACAATTATGTGCGTTAGTCCTGCTGACCTCTGATTCCAGCTGCATACGTATTCGAACAGCCTTCACCAGCATGTAAAGGTATCGTCCCAAGAGGAAAATGAGCGAGAGGATGCAGGGCCACTGGGCAATGATCTTCTGGTGTTTCCCCAAAATCTTTAAAAGTCACAAACATGATCCTTCATTAAATTCTTTTCACATTTTAAAGAATCGGCTTTATTTAGGTTGTGGTCTGAAACACAGCAGTGGATGAAAGATTCTGGATGCTTGACAGGAACCACATTGCAACAGATGCCTTTTGATGTTTTTTTTTTTTAATGCTGAGTTTCGTACTCACCTACCTTACCACCGGGACAGGTGAATGTATCCCAGACTGTAATGATGATCCTAGAAACAGAGATTGAAGATGTATTGTGAGGCTGTTAAAACACGATCATCCGTATATTTACTAGTTTATCTCTATTTAAATCAGTTTTATTTCGGAAGTTTTCTTTGTTATTGTTTCACATGAGTTTTGTTTTAGCCTCTGCATGTTTTTGCAGTGTCTTAAAGATACACACTGAGGAGAATATAATGAGAGTTAATGTTTACCAGGTCACAGAGTAGAGTATTCCCAGAACCGCTCCCACCAGGCGGAATGGTGTGGACAAACAGGCAAAGAAAGGGTAGTACACCAGGCCCACTTCTAAAGCTCCAATCAGGTACAGTATAGCTGAGGATAACAGTCAGAGAACGCTGCATCAGTTAACGTATTATTTGTTGCATCTGTATGGGAAAAAAAAAATCTGTATATTAAAGAAGATAATAATATACGTTTGGCCCAGTTCGGGACGCTGAAGAGGATGTAATTTTCAGAGAAGAGCAGCAGGACGCTGCTCGAAATTGCACCAAATGCGAAGCCATAGGACCAGCGGTTACTGAGGCTGCCTATAGTATCCAAAGGCCTGAGACACAACGATAATAAAATAACATGAATGCAGGTAAAGCCACATTACTGATATAGTAGTCTGATACACATGACAGAAAAGCAGAAATATGGATAAAGCATTCTTCAAGGATCTTAGAAGGATATTAAGGGATCAGATAGCTGCAGATTAAAACAGTTTTACTGATTTTCAAGTTTCTTTTCTGTCAGATTTTCCGTTTTATTGACATAGTAGTCATTGCTGTTTGACTTACACTACAATAGCAAAACGTCCCTTTAGGAAAGACAGTCTTTGGTCGATGGCTATGCTCTTGGTTCTTTTCTGGAGGGATGAGAGTACCACTATAATTATCACCTGGAAGACAAGATGTCAGCACATGAACAAATGCATCAGGAAATGTACCTGAATAATATTTTGTTTGTTACAGTGTCAAAGTGGACATATTCTGTACCACTGAATTCAGGGGTCCTACTATAAAAACAACGTGTTATATTTGATTCTCACACATTGCTGTACATGCACATTCTTATGGTTGCTGTAGGAGTGAATGTACTGTCGTGTTGCGTTGCAGTCGTAATGCTGCTGTTCCCAATTCTTCATAGCATTACTACTTCTTTAGTCCTCTGTGCTATGTGGTATATTGTCATTCTCTTCTACTTTGTAATTGTGTAAAAAAAAAAGAAAAGAAATGACAGAATCCTTTTTTTCCCATATGTTGTGGGTCTGTGTGCACACTGGGGATGAATAAGTACGATCAAAGATGATGAAAAACAGGATTTTGCCCGTTGAAGGTCAAAAAGGCCCTCTATGGGACAGACTCAGGAGGAAGCAATAATCATTTACTAATCAAACTATCATTGGTTTGATCTCGGACTCCTCCTCACTGAACAAAACCCTACTGTCATCTCGCTCAGCCAGCCCATTCTGTATTACATAATGATCTGGCTGCACCTCACTAATTCTGCTATAGCGGGAAAAGGTTCTGGCATTTGTATTGGGCAGAGCTAAGCCAAGAATGCTAAACTCGTTTCGTTGGGACGGTTTCATACGCAGAGACGCTACAGTGGCTAATTCCCTTCAAAATAAAACACCACAATCTGTCAACTTTGTAGTAAGACATTTACTGATGAAAGAGACAAACATAATTTGACAATCGATGCCCAACAGATGAAGCCTGAATGTGTTCTAGCTCTGGAGGAACTCTGTGGACTCATGAAAGTTGCAGATGATTTGCGAGCGCTATGAGGCAGGAATATTAAATTAACTTACTGAGGGTAAAAGTGACAGATGCAGGAAGTGCTCCATAGAGATTCCATTTTCACAGACGTCAACGCCAGAGACCCTGGAAAACATGTGACAATATGAACATGACGACACATAATGTAGTGTAACCGATCTGAAAGTAAAGAATGCACAGCAGAACAGAGGGGAATGTGAAATTGGTACAAGTGACCAGGCTGACCTACATAGAACAGAGTCCAGGTCAGCTAAGATAATG